GCAGTAATAATGTAATGGAACAGTTACATAGATATTTCAAGGAGACACAAAACCCACAGGGTTAGTTGCAACTCATTGCTCCTACAATGAGATTTCTGTAACAGTTTCAGCAGACTGAAGAACTGGCCATTATAGTGTTATATAATACTTCCAATAAATTATTATCTTGCAGCAGTGTTTATGAATAATTACAAGGTTGTAACATGAAAAATTGGAAAGGCTTTAATGAAAAATGAAGTAGCAAATATACTTTTGATTGGAATAATAACCTCCTTAATTCAGGAGTTTAAGTGTATGTGTATCTTTAAATTGCAGAATATATGGAAACAGGAAATGCAAGTATTTCAGAGGAACGCCCACTGGAATGCGCAGAACATCAGTCTTGCATTTTGTCCCCAGAAGTTCCTCCGTCTCCAAAGGCTAAAAGTAAATACATCTACTCTGTGAATACAGAAGCTGTACTGAACTTCTCTTTAATATTAAAAGTTATATTGCTAACACATTCATACAAACATACAAAATGAAAGAGAGAAATTAAGAAAGTTGTTGATATTGAGAAGTTTTTTCCACCATGAATTACCTATCTTGACTATATACACTGTAATCCGTGTCATATAGGAAAGCAAAGAACTGTATGCTCAGAAAGAACAAGTCGTTGATGGATTACAATGTATGACATTATTTAATCTTAAATCTTCTTAATTTATCTGACCATACTCATTTCATAACCAAGTAAAACTAAAGGATACTAGATATGTCAAAATACTCTGCAGGCATTGTTCACATTCAAGTTAAAGATTGCATTTACTTTATCTTTCCCAGTATCTCTTCCAGTTGTGTTACATTTGGATGCCTCTTTCAACGGTCACATGTACTGCTCTTCCATTCATCTTCTAACATATTTTTCATATACTGTGACTATCGCTATTGTGTGCACATGCTTTCATCTTATGTTCTGATTCACCCTTTACGCACCACAGCTGCTTAAATAGGGCATTTCCTGAGTGTGGTGTTGTCCTGTTCTTCCATGAAAATCATCCTCTTGTAGAACCAAACCTGACTTCTGCTTCTGTAATCATCCAAAGTAAATGTAACTGACTGCTGGCAAATCACTAAGCCTCTCTTCTTTGTTTTTGTTGTGTGGAGTTTGTTTGGTTTTGTTTTTTGGTTGGTGTGTGTTTTGGGGTGGGGTTTTTCTGGTTTTTTGGGGGTTTTTTTGGTTTTTTTTAAAACACCTTTACAGGGAGAGTTTTCATTCATGAGAAAACTAAGCTTATTGCTGAATGCCAGATTATGATCTTCATGGTGATAGCAAACAAATGCTCTAGTTCCATTCATGTTTCCCACTGGGGTACTTAACAGACATATGGTGTATGAAGATAAATAGTTCCTTTGAGATTAGTAGAATCATGAAGTCAACTACCCTATGCAATAGAAATGTCTGTTCTGAAATTAAGTAGTAAATATTTTTAAAATATGTTTTACTTCTTAACAATAAGGTCATGATCTCACATTCCTTGTTTCCACTTTCAAGGTATAAATACTATAAAATGTGCTAGCTGGCTTTTGCTTGTCTATTGTGTAATCTGATTCTAAAGGAAAGGAATTGTACTTGATTGTGCTTCCCATCCATCTGTCTACCATTCTCTGACAATCTAATTTCAAATAATTTAAACCAAATTTGGAAGAGGGATAACAGTATCGATTACCTTTCTGTGACTTTCATGAAAATAGGTAGCTAGATAGAAGAGAGAGACCTTAATTAGTACCTGCACTGAAAGAAATAGGCAAAATTTGTGTTTTATGTATTCGTTCTGGCAGCAATCAGCCAGCCAGTTAGTAGTATGCACTTACTCACAGGTCAGTCAGCACCCTTGCAGTTCCAGTTTTGTCACACAGAATTAATTCTTGTCCAGTAAGAAATATTGCCAGCTATATGTGGGAGAACATGGGACTGGGGACATGAACATAATTATGTAGGAAACAGTAGTCCTGTTTCTTTTTAGGGCACTGTATCATCATTTTAGAATAGTTCTTAATATTTAGGTAGTTTACTTCCAATTTTTATTAGTATTATAATATTAATATGGAATAATTTCAATTTTCTAATTAAAAAGGCAGCATATAAATAAACCTGATTATATAAATTGTTTCATTTACAAGTTTTGTGCAAAGTTACCATTGACTAAGAGTAACAGGAGTTTTGAATGCAAAATTTCTGTTACTTAGGTATTAAAAGGCAATTAGATACTTTTAATTAACAACTGTTCTTGGCTCTGAAAATTTCAGTCATAACTGGCTGCATTGTAATTTAAAAAATATTTTAGAATATTTATGTTTACCTAGCATAACAAACAGTGACTATGAAGAAAAATGACACAAAAAGAGCTCTAGACCAAGCAGATACAATCTTATCCAGGGCTGCTTTAGTTACGTGAATGTACATATGTGTGTTGTATGTATGCTGAGCTTAATATACTTACTCTGTTTTTCCTTTTCAGCATTTTATTCCCAAAGGTGGAGTAAAATGGAATTATCTCTGTTTTTTATCAAGTCTAAGGAGTGTAGTTTCCAACACCATGACTCTAGTAAACCTTGTAAAGAAAAGGGGTTTCTTATTTGCCCCTGGAAAAACTTGGCTTTCACTCACATTTTCATTGCTATTACTGAAGGTAGCTGTGTAACACATGCAATAGATTATCAGAACCTAATGCAGTTGTTCATAACAACTAAAAAGTAGCTTTTTACTCTGTGGAGGTCTTGCTGCTGCCAGTGGGCTATATGCAGAAAAGTTAGCACTCAACGTGATTCTAATACTTATTACTACTAGTAGTTGTAATAGTGGCCCTCAGTATAGACATATAAAGCCCATTGTCTTACTATGTTGGTAGATTTCTTAACTAAAGATATCTGATAAATTAAGGAGAAAACATGAAACACAATGCAGAATGCACTAAACATGGGTTTCTGATAGACTGCTGTAGGGAGGCATGTTTTATATACTTGTGAGTTTTGCCTAGTATATCCTTCCACCATTCCATTTAAACCTGGGAAAGTGAGCAAGAATTACGGCAGCAAACAAGAACCTGATGCAGAGTATGGGACACAGATTTTGTATGTTTGTACGCACTTTCCTTTCCTGGATTAATTTTACATTCTTGGATAGCTGCTATTTCTAGCCAATTTTCAGGATTAGAGAACAGAGAAAGGGTAAGTATATATTATAATTCATCCTAATTAAATGCAAGGTACAGGGGAATGCAGAAGTATGTAGATTACCTCCAGTGATTCCCATTCTGATCATTCCATAATGAGATGCTGTTCTTTTTGAGAGTAGAATTGTGCATGAAGATCACTGTTCAGATGATAAGGCATGGAATATAACAGATACTCAATAAAATTTAAAGAATGTGCATTTCCTTTTTAGGAATGAATTACCCCTGGTATTCTAATTATTGACTAACGGTGTGTCTGTTTTTAAAGGTGAAGCTGTGACTGGAGAATTATCAAAGCTCTTAGATGAAATCAAATTGTGCCAAGAAAAGGAATACTCTTTTGAAGATCTGTCTCGTACAGTATCAGACCATTATCTGGACAATTTTAGTAAAGTATCAGAGGAAGAACTTATGACCAGTGGAAGCCAAACCAAGCTTAATGTAGTAAGTAAGATGGGGTACAAAGACAATCTATTCAGTTATATCTGCTTTATTCATGGCACATTCAAGAAAGAAGTAGTACAAGAGTGAGAATAGTACAAGTCTAACATTATAATAGAAAAATAATATAGCATGTGCTCCTTACAGATTTAGAATTTAATGTTCCCCTTAGTTTACAAAGATACAGAATGGCTTTTTATGGCACCACTAATATGACCAAAAGTTCAGGTTAGTTGTTCTTTTGAGCGTGGGGAGTGCAAGGAAGGGTTTTTTGAGAAATTCGTTGAAATCAGTACGCTCAGTACCATAGCAAAGACTAAATGCTTGCAGAATCTGATCAGAAGTGCCCCCCAAAAGAAGCTGCTAAGTGTCTTCAGTTTTGATTCTTATACATTTTATTACTGTATAACTTTCCCAGTAGCCTAATGGTATTAAAAAACTGAGTCTCTAATACTGAAAATCATTGTAGTTGTGATACTTCAGTGATTTCCAACTCCAGTTGAAAATATGACTTCATTACTACTAGTCCTGTGAATAAAGTGCTCTAGGATTCATTTTTTCTTTACAGTGTAACAAGCTTTTTTTGCCTTTTTTTTTTTTTTTTAAACTGAATTTTCTTCCTCAATAAGTGACTAAATGGGATTGCCCAGGGAATAAAGCACAGAACAGAGAGAAAATGCTAAGTGCTAAATTTCAATTAATGTTGGTTGTAAGTTAAGAAAAATTATGCTCTTATGTGGGGAAAAACATGGCAAGTTAAGGACTTTTATGTTCTAGAGGATTTATTATGATATATGTAGACGGAAAAAGATTTACAAAGATGGCTAGCTGCTCTGAAATGCAGTAGATACTTTTGTAAAGCCCTTCTAGATGTTCGAATGATTAGATACATAACCCATATTGAAGTCAGTCTGAACAAGGTACTGATCCCATTTAAGCATTTTTATACAACTTTGTAGTGTGTCTCTGTATTTAGGTGCTAACTGCTATTTAAATCTGCTCAGCTGCTGTTTTGCAGAAAATGTAATCTATATAATTCTCTCTACTCAGACTGAAATTTTTACAGACCTAAATGAAATACAATATGAATAGGAAGTATTCAGACACTAAATCTGTAATTTATGTGCAGCAAGCAACTACAAAGGTAAATTAGGCAATACATTTTTTGAGATTTCATCTATTTGTATATTGAACTAGATGTGAAAACAAATGTTCAAAAATGGAGACTGTTTAAAGCATGTTGTAGCTCTCCTACTAGTGCACCCAGCTTTTCTTTCAAAGAAAGCTAGAATCAGGATGATAGTTACACACTCCCAATGTGAAGTCAGGCTGCAGGGCAGAGCACACTTTCCTCTAGAGTAAACCCAACTATACAGGCCTACATGGAGAGGACTCTTTGCTGTGATGTGGGATTTTCCTTTTTGATCTAAAACATTGGTTTCATTTTTTGAAGTATTTTAAGGTCACTCAATCTGTTCAGTTGCTACGTGGCTGCCTTGCATCAGAAAAAAAAAAAAAGGAAGTTGCTCCCAGTTTTGACACACTGTCTTTTAGCTTTGGGGATGTGCTGCCTTCCCTTGGTGTGTAGACTCCCTGTATAGTGCATGGGTGATATGAAAACCCACACATGCTGTAAGGAGCCATCAAGGAGTAATTGAGAAGAAACACTAAAATGAAGAGGTATGTTTAGCTCGGAAAACAGGTGCAAAGGTGAATGCTGCCAAACTACTCTGGGGGAGGACCAGCAAGCCTGGTCCTGGAAGAAGTGTGACAGTAGGGTGATGACTGAAGAAACTTAAATGAATATTTATGTATAAGAATGTGGAGATACAGAAAGAAAGAGAGAAATGGAGACATATATAGATGGAGAGTCAGAAATAGATTCCTTGGATATGTATTAAAGAAGAGAAAGATTCTTACAGCTTTTTCTGACTTTAGTTTTCTCCTCCCTGGGAAGCTTCTGTGAAAATCTCAGTAGAGTAAGGGGGGTCTTCTCTGTTATTCATTGTTTACTGTGACAGCATCAGCTCTGAAGAGGTGTAGAAGTCAGGTCCCTGGTAATGTGGCAGATGATTCCATTTCCTGGACAAATGTTTCCAGAGACAATGACTGGTGCAGGCTTTTAAACTTCTCCTGTAGTCCAGTGATCTGAGCAGGTTGCAAAATCCAAGTCATGACACTTTGACCCTTGGGGAGATTCTGCGAAAGAACTGGCTGCTAGGAGACTGCTCTGGCTAAGTAAGGTTTAGATTGATTCAGGACTACAGAAAGGAGTGTCTGTCTATCTAGGATCCACAGCCTGGAATTCTCTCCTGAATCTAAGTGCCAGCCTCATTTGTTTGAAAGAGCAGGGCTCACTGTTTATGTTTAGTGTAAGGGTAGTGGGGAGGCCTAATTTTTAATGCAGTAACTTAACCGTAAAAGGCTTCATCTGGAAAGTGGAAGAGTGGGGTTCAGTTCTGTCTATGGCATAAGGGTGGTTTTAACATCGCATTTATAGTGTCCTAAAAAAAAGGACTGAGTATCAGCCTGTTGATCCCCTCTAGTATTCTTTGTGGATTTTACAACCACTGGAAAAATACCAGTGCAATCCTGAGAGCAGGACTTAGGACTCCCTATTCACTATCAAATTCTGTTCCTTTTCTGGCCTCGGATGTCTTGTATTGTTTGTTGCTCAGTGATACAGCACCTGTCGAATACTACATTTTCTTTTGAAGAAGTTGTGGGTTGGAACTCTCTTAGGCCAAGGGCAGAATTGAATCCATTCTTTTGTCTGCTGAGTACTGGACAATTAGTCATCTGACCATTTAGCAAGTTGTTCTGTTATGTTTGGACTAATGGACTTACTTTCTTTTTGTCAAATTTTGCATTGAAAACACTACACATTTTATTACTTAATATGTTTCTGTTGACCAGGTGTGTGACTTTGACACAAGGCATTAATAAAACCAGAGGTTTATGTGCTTATAGTATTTTGAAGTCAAATAGGAAGCAGAGTTTGCATAACTCTGAGGTTAGGTGAAACTGAAAAAGAGCTTTCTGGATGAAAATTTTGGGTTTAGTCACCTTAATTCCAAATTACTAGTCGGCTCTGTGTTGACTCTTTGGTTTCCTCAGGACATGGAAGAGCTAAATAAGAAAATTGAATGGCAGGATCTTGAGGACTGGAAGACATGAACATCTGGGAGGGGGAGGGTACAATGCAGCAGTAACTAAAAGTAAGGAGAATAAGAATAGATACCACAGTGTAGATGTGAATAGGAACAGATCTGGAGGTGAGTAAAAATGTCCCCACAGGATACTTCCATTCCAAAAGCTTAAAGGGAAACTGGGAAACTTTTGGGGTTCTGGGAAAGCAGGCTCTGTTAGCATCCTCAGTGAGGAGAGCAATTAATGAAGAGGATGAAAACTGTGAATGCTTGTTTGCTGAATAGCGGATGTCGGATGAGAATAAGTTAATGTGACCTTTTGTTTGAAGAGTACATTATAAAGAACAAACTAAAGAAAGTCAAGTTGAAGCCACATTGGAAACTTTGTAATTTCAGTGCTTGATTTTGCAACTGTGGCTGTGTTTCAATGTACTTTTGATGTGCTGTCATCTAAAATATTAATTCCATATTTCTTAGTCTGTCTTCACCAGTCATTAGAACATGTATATTGTGAGATGTCAGACAACAACCCCCTGGTGATTGTCTCCACAAAATTAAACACCAGATTGAAGTAGCATAATAACCTACATTTCCAGTTGCAAAATTATGTTCAGAGAGAGATCCAAAAAGGCATTTATATACCTAGGCATCATTTCGGTTGGAATTGCCTATTTGTCTCAAAGGCTTGTACTCTGGGTGGGGTTGGTGGTGGATTCATAGATTTTTACTCCCAGTTCCTTTCTGCCTTTTGTTCCCATTTTGGTCATTGTGACTTGAATATACTATTTAGTTCCCCTGTGTATGCGAAGACATGGAAAGCCCTGATAGCTGCTGCACAGGTGAGCTGGGAAAGCTTTATACTTGTGTGTTGTTCAGTGCTGTCATATAGCAGTTTTTCTATGTTTGCTAAATACAAAACTTTCACTCCAAATAACTAGGATTTGATTGTTCAGCAAGTCAGAAAAGGAGCTGTGCTTCAAAACATGTTCCAGAAAACATGAGGTGGAAAAAGATGTAGGAAAATTCTTGATTGTAGCATAGTTTAGTTAACTTTTAAAAAAAAATTAAGCTGTCTTAAGTACGACTGCTAGCAAGATTAGCTTTTGACAATAACTTATAGTAGTTTCAGTTTTCAAAGGAAAAAAAGTATAATTTGAAAAATATTTATTTTCCAATAGATGGCAGTCTGGCTCAGTAATTTCAAGAACAAAAGCAGCCATCTTGTATAAGAGTTTTCCAACTTTTTTCATTGCTACGTTAAAATCATGCATTTTTAACACGGTTGATAGTACAAACTGCTTAAAAACAAACACCTGTAATTCTTATAAGAGGAAAATTTATTTAACAGCATGGTATACATTTAAACTACAAACTAAAATATCAGGGCTAGATTTAGAGGTTTATTGTAATGCAGAGGTTACACATTAAGTGTGTATTCAAACAATCTGTGTGAATTCAAGAGTAAGTAAGAAAATTTAAATAAGCATAATTTGCAAAGTAGAGATCCAGAAAAATCAAGTGTGTCAGGAAAACAAAGAGGAGAATGTCAAAGTGTATATTGTGAGGAATCTTCCTGAGCTCCTGCAAGTGAATTGCTTTAATTTAGATTCTTCTGCCCATGGAGTACTAACATCATTACCGGTTTCTCATCATGTTTGAGGTTCCTGTGTATGTATTCATGTGAGAACAAATTATTTTAAATGTAATATTAAAAAAGAAATATGCTGTATTTATTGCAATGTATTTGCCCATTGTGGTTCTTGACTTAAAAAAAAAAAAAAAAAAAAAAAAACCAAAAACAGAAAAGAGAAGTATGGGCTTTATGTCCATGTTAAGAAAAAATTTCTGTGAATA